ATTTGTTTGTATATCTATTATACTATTTCAGATGTGAGACATGATGTGTTATTTTGGAAAAAAGAAATATGATTCTATCRAAAATGAAGTTCGTTCGAATAGTCATAATTGAAAWATGCTGCAGAATAACCTTGCACGTTTCTATTAGACAGTATGGCGTTTTTTCTATTAGACAATARGAYAACTATTGAAAGGAATTTCGACGTAAWGGCCTAAAGCCTTTACGTCGTTTTACGTTAAGAGATTTTGGAAAAAATGCGTTTATGTAATTTGCATTCTTTAATAAGGYATGGTGTTGAAACGTCCTTAATTTGGTGTTGCCCAATTAAATAATCCGCTAATAACGCAACGGTTGCCTGCGCTATGTTCAACCCATGTGGGACTCTGAAAAGGCTCACTCGAAAACTCTTAAATACGAACAACTGTCTCTTTATTCGGATTTTTAATGCGGTCTGATAGCCACGGACAAAGCTTTATTTGCATAGGCTTAAAGGATGCGAAAAATATACAACTTCGTCTTTGAAGCATGTGCTTCTTTAATATGGATATGAGGTTTTTACGAGAACCATTTTTTTCTCTTCTGYAGTACCRACAGTTTAAGGAATTTAGAGCATGACCGTCGACATAAACAGGTASATATGGAAAAACTATTTTAAATTGGAAAATCTTAAACAAAAATATTATTTACGAGTTGCAAGTACWAAATTATTTGTSMGKSTGTATTATTTAAAACTAAGTGAGTTGATAGAGCTTTTGGAAGCTCAAAARCCAAAAAGATTGATATAAAATAAGTTGGAATTAAAAAATTTTGKAAWAAWMATAAAGTAMAWACACAGTAAGYACAGGTTATGAAASTAAACAGAAATCTATTGGGTTTTCAGCAGTAYATCATTGGGCGATTTATTCGAGACTTAATCAAAATACATGCAYACTAAAAATTCACTTTTGACGTAGTTTACRATTTATTATWAAAATGTCGACATTTCGTGGCTAACAAACTACTCGTAYAATATAATCGCGTGTAGATCGAATTAATTTTAAGGGTCTTTATTACTGGTGCGGGATAATTTTGTGCAACTTGCAAAAATGCACCGACTGCAGCCTACGTCAACAGTGCAACAATAGCGAGAAGTAAAGTACGTGACATGGTAAAAATGTCGGCAACATTAAAACGAACAGTTTATGAAGAATTGCATAGGTCCACTGACCGCAGCTCTTTACTGCACTGCATATGTAATTAGTTGATGTCGCATAATGAAAGTACTACTAATTCAATTTGGCGGCATGTACAGACATGATCCAATTCAGGATGTCGCGGAATTTGTGCAGAGGTGTTGTGGAATCTCAGAAGAGCAATTATTCTCTGTGCGTGACACCAACTGCACTTTAACTCTTTTTTTAAACTAAAATGGTCAAAAGTTAATTATCCATTTAGACTCAATAGACTTGCAAATAGTCGTGATTAATCTGGACGAACTCAGTGAATTCTGGTAAAATGCACTGCTTCTATTTTAGAAATAAAATAATCTGACTCTGAACGATTTCAAGGAACGGTGCAATTTTTATATATGTTCGAAACGCAGCAAATTGACACGAACTGTAAATTAAGAAGAGAACAGCTTCCAACTTTAACGGTTATTATATATATTAACTTATGGAAAACGGCAAAGATGTATTTTCGTCGGTTGTATGCCAAAGTTGTTAGCCGAACAACAATCCCGGTTTTTAGTATTACATATTTCCAGTAATGTGAGGAAAATCAATCGAATACTGAAAGAGGACGCCCATATGCTTTCTCTAGAGGCAAATCGATTTATAATSTRTGTCTGTTTCTAATCAGTTATGTGATCAGTTATTTCACAAAGGTAAAAAGACACAGKACTGCCACTGTTCAACAAATGGRTTTYAGATCACAAATGCCTTAAAAATGAAAAATGCTCWTTTCGCAAAACGCACTTTATTGAACCATAATATTGGAWGCTGCTGATGATGAATAAGTTGAACTCATTTGCGTTCAGTAGCGTTAAATGGATCGTCAATTAGATTTAAATAAAAGAAATATAGGTGTCAAGTAGAACAAGTAGAAGATAAATTTCAAGTCGCGCAATTCCGAAAATAAATCCACTTTTAGGAAAAATCCTAAAGAGTATGAGAAATATTTATATATTATTTAAGATTAACACAATTTAACGCACATTTATGAGTAAAAGCTCAAGAACCAATTACTGAATTTAGAAATTGTAAAACTCTATTTTCAAAAATACGAACTCACTGCATTAATTGATCATAAGACCTGAAATTATTGCAGACGAACAGCCACACAGAATTAATAATGAGTAGAATCGAACGTAAGTAGTTTAGTGATGGATCTTTTTGAATCCGAAAAATAACAAATAATGTGATACTTCGTACATTTCAACATTCTGAGCTTGGCCACCTTGTCCACTTTAGGAAAGTTGATAAAAGTGTGCTTTTAAAGAAACCACGCACTATAAGTTCTTAAGCTAAATACATTTTAATGATCATTAACAAAAACGTATCATTAAAAGAATATTTTAAATAAATTAATATTCTATTGGCAACGCCACATAATATGAAAATATTCCAAATTTTGTTTTGGATTGAAATGAAACAAACAGCTTTTTAGAAACGACCATAAAACGGACATATTTAGCATTATGCGTATTGGAACAGTTTACCTAAACACAATCTGATCTGAAGTGAGTTTACTCTTGCACTAAATGCTTTGCTTTTAGAACGATCTTAAGCGGCCATCGCACCTGTTGGTCTCTTGGTTCTACTGTTTAATTTGTAAGAAAATCATGTTTTTCTAACGAATTTGTAGTGAATTACTTCCTGTCTCATATTTGTTCGAAAAATGTGAAAAATGGAAACAATTATTATTAAATGAGGGATTTTTTCAATTCTATTTTTATCATTGCAGACATACCAGTGTCTCTAAAAAGGAAAACTACATAGTCAAAGACACAATAAATGAGGAAACGTAAAATAAAACAATGCAAACCACGTCTCCTCTGTGTGGAGATCAAATGTCATCACGTTGTATAACGTCCAACACGGACTGCGTACATTTTTCCCAACACCCTGTGGCTATAATAATGTGATATTAATCAAAAACAAGACTGCAAGGTTCTATTGGGAATGCAAAAGTGTGATAGAAATGAAATAAAATAAAAGTAAAATGCTTAATTAAATTCTAGAGATTGAACCATCAAACAACTTAAAAATCAAAACTCGACGATCTTTTTTCATTCTCGAAAGAGTGTGAATGAACCCCGTTTTTTCTGTGTAAAATTTTTATTCCGTCTTTTCTGTGTACTTCAATTGTATATTCTCTGGTAACTTTTCAGATCTATTAAACGATTTTAGTGATTTCTCAGAAACTGGTGCTAGACTTGGGTAACAGTGTGCTGAGTTGCGCTATTGAGTTGTTGCCGCTCTTTGAGTTCTCGAGTTATAACTCATCGGTTAATTAGTTATAAATGATTTGTTGAAGCTTTACGAGACTCGAATTTTCACATCTAAAAATATTTTACTACTTTGTTGAAACAACTGAAAAAAGTAATCTATATTTTCCTAGCAACAGAACTGAGTTCATAGAAAGTCGACGAGTTTTCTTGTAAAATCTCTCTTAATTTTTTTTTCATAAAAGATTCAGTTTGCCAGTATTTTACAGTAAAACGTTAGGAAAAACGCGGTTTTCTGTTTAGAGACAGTGTTGTTTCGAAATATTGACCTAAAAGTGAAGACACCCCAGTTTCCAAAAGTTTTCCAAATAAATGATTATAAACTTTCGCTTTTTCAGTTCGGTGAAAAAAAAGACCCAGAATTCATTATTAGGGCTTGGCCCATAATTCAAAGCTGCAAAAAGTTTTCCAAAAATGTTTGCAAAGCGGTTAAAGAGGCGAGTGTTTAACTTATAGTTTTTCACAGAAAATAACTGAAGGTCGTCGGTATTTTAAATACAAAATAATGCGATTTTTGCGTAGAAGGAATTGCTTAATAGAAACTTTTTCAAAACTAGAATAACCTGAAAATTTCAAAGAGCTTTAAAAATCTTCAGAGCGATGAGGGCAACGAATTTTACAGATAATTTTTTGTAAACTTTTGCTCTTTTGTCGTTTTTTCAAGATAATCTTAAATACTTTAGGTAAAAAACTAAAAAAATTATTTGGTTTTTGTGCCATATTCGAGGCGAAATTTTATTTTGCACAACTTTTATTTTCGTGATCGGTTTTGGAGAAAACCTTAATGGTTTTCGGGGAAAAACGGGAGGAATTTATTTTCATTTTCGTTTCGAATTCCATTCTGAAAAAAGTTTTAGTCAAATTTTTGCGAACCTATAAATTTACCTTGTCATTTTTCGCGTAAAGGACCTCCAGATCGTCAGTATTTTAAAGTGAAACTCTACAAAATACAGCGTTTTTTTGTAGAAAGTAAATCAAAAAAAATCAGTCAAAACTAAAAACCACATTTTTTGAACAAACTCTGCAGTCTTCAGAGGAATGGTGGTGACGAAATTTCTAAATAATCTGTTATAAACTTTCGCTTATTCCGTTCGTTTTTTGAAAGAAAATTATTTGATTTTTGTTCCAAATTCGATGCTGGAAAGGGATTTCAAACCTTTTTGCAAAGCGAAGAAGAATTCGAAATTCATTTCATAACTTTTCACGGAAAATACCGTAAGTTTGTCAGCATTTTGTAAAGTGAAACTATAGAAAATTGAGCATTTAGAAGAAAGAGTAACTTGGCTAAAACTGGAAGATTTTGAAGACATTTTGAAAATATTATTAATTAATGACTCTTAAAATAAACCCAAAAGTAAGTGAAAAAACGTCAAAATTAAATTTTAAAATAGTTGCGACGAAATGAGCTGGCAAGGAGTTGAAAGAGCAATCAACACAACGATCAGTAAAACCGCCATGGTTAAATAGACCATTTTTAACAACACACTAGATCCATACAGAGAAACCACTTACATTGTGTAGTTTGTAGTAAAGTCCGCAGGCATTGCACACTGGTTCCCCATTTTGATTCCGTCGCCAGAGCGTCGTTGTCGTCGTTTTGCAGTTCGCACAACTCGTTCCTGCCCTCCTGGCTGCACTTTGTAAACTCTGAAAACAACAGAAACAACTTCATTAACCTCTGGCCCAGACGCAACAGCTCCAACATCTCCCGCAAACTCCCCTCATTAGAGAATTATCAATTCAGCTCTCGTTTCTGGTAGTACTACAACCAGAACCCGATTAAAAATCGTTATCCACATCTGAAATAACCACGTCTTTGTCCGCTAAACATTTATCAGTCCACTTCCATTCTCCGGAGTTCGAATGCGCTCTAAAACTTGTGTCACTGAAGTAAACCCATTGTCAGATTTAATTGGATAGCGATCTCCCAGCGATAAGGCTGGCTCGGCAATAAGGGTCCGAATCGCTAGCAGGTCAATTCAGGATCGCTGTACATTTCTCTGAATTGAAAGCAGGCGAATTTCGGCCTTAGTGCACGGATGGCATCGCGGACTTGATTGATTAGAAGATAAATGGGGTTTAAGTGTCGTCTGGGTGGTATAATCACAAAAACGAACAAGATGTGGGGACAGTATTTATTGCTACGACCGCCCGTCTGTTAGTACTGAAGCTCGGATTTTTTCAAATCGTTGCTTAATGTCCAAGCACAGGTTTAGACCCCTAAAAATGGAACTCAAATAGCCAATATTTTTGCTAGTGAAGTAGTAAAATCAAGAAAAATTTGAATATTATGTTTGACTTGTGCCAATTTGATGCAACACTGGTTTTGAAAAATTAAAACATTTTTAAAAACTCTTAAAATTATATGGGACATCCAGTTCTTCCATATAATGTTCAAAAATAAAATTCTGCCATTAGTACCAAAAGAGTGCGAGCAGAAGATCCAACGATAATTTACAGAATAAAATATTTCAAGTTATAACATCAACAAAAGTCATAAGTATTTTATTTAGTTTTAGCTCCAACCTGAACCTTAGATTAGCAATACCAAAATGTATATATTTTTTTGACCACTCTGTAAATAAACGAGATAAGTAAGCGAAAATTTCAAAGACACATATATATATACACGGTCTATCTTAAAGGTTGTACTGTTCAAGTACAAAAAAAAATGTTGTCCGTTTTTGTCTGTTTGTTTTTTTATGTGAAACTTTCACCAAATTTGCATTTTGAATTTTTGATTTTCCACCCTGTAGAAACTTTATCTGAAGCAAATTAAGAATTGCACTAAATAGCTCTTCAAACAGAAATAGACTCCCTCACAGCAAATCACAAATGTTCAATTTGCAATAGCTTCACCTTAAAAGTACACACCTGAACAGCAAATGAGTGAATGAAAGAATGAAGCTCAAAAAATGACGAAAAATGAATTGAGATCATAACAAATTTCATCTGGCTCTTGAAGAATATTTTAAGTCCAAGACCCGTTTCAAATAATCTCAACTTCAAACACGTATTACTTGCTGTGTGTTTGATTTGTATGCGCATTAATTGATCAAACCGCGTACATTAATAATGGCAATGTAAGTTGATTAAACCGATTTAGCTGGAAAAATGAGAGCGACGCTGTGAAGATCCAGGAAAGCAAATAAAAACAAGCATCATCATCGATCGACAAAACAAATTATCGCCCTGCACAGTTGGTAGCGCGTAAACCAAATCAGATAAATTATCGTTAAATCGTTATCATTTAATCGCGCTCTCGTTATCTTTTTATCTCAATCCGTCTCAGGAGGACCAACAGTTTACCCATTCCTGCTGCAACACGGCAGTCATTTTTTAACTGTCGATAGTGGCAACCGATAATGCCAGACGTGTTGATTGCAACTACGAGCCTTCATAAATGATAATATAATGTGTAATTAACTATTTTGCATTTTGCTCTGTCGAAAGTGCTATGGCCGTAGCAGCCGTGAGAGCACTGAATAATCACTCCAACGCTTTCGGGAAATTTTCAGGCAATTTTCGGTTGCTGCCAGTTAATCTTTCAAGCCCAGCTGCTTCGAGAATTAGCTTAATTGCACGCAAAAAATATACATTTACCGGCACATTTGGCCTGGCCATAGCACCATTCTTCCTCCCAGTGACGAGGAAACGCGCGTTGAGGCCTGATTTTTTAAAATTGATTTTACCATTCCATTTCTCATGGTAATACGTTATCATCAAGTGTCCTTATTTACGAGTGGTACGAACGAGAGAGTTCCTCATCGGCGAGCAAATGGAAAAAATGATAAACGGTTATGAAATGAGTAATAATATGTTCAGGTAGCCGTCTTTGCTGATATATCTTGCCTTTTAAGTAGATGTTTTAAGGATGTTATTATGAGAACTGCGAATTCATGAGGTATAGCCATGTTGACAGCCGATTGTTAAACCATCTATTTGCAGAAGAAGAAAGAGGAGTTGCATCTGAAATTGCTCATTCCGGAACAGGTGGAACAATTTCCCACTTTAGTTGAACTTGATTGTTTTTACACGTATGCTCAATTATTATCTGGAATCCCTAAAGTATTTGTGAGATAATGCTTTAGGCAGTGATCTTCTAAAGCACATATTATCAATGTCGTTTTTAATGTCAATGTTATCTTCACCAAGCTAGAACATGTTGATAGTTAAGTGGTTTGTCGATTTATTTGCATTAATAATGTGATTAGGCTCGCATCGATCACTTAATTTCAACAGCAGAGATGAAGAATGAGTTATGTTAAACTAATCCGGTTAATTGTCCATTGTGCGTATATTATTAGTGACAGTAACTATACATCAGCAACAAAGTCTACATGACTGATCCTCAATGTTCCAATTAAAGAGCAAAGTTTCAAACATCCCTGGTTTTAAACAACTAGCTACTACACTCGTTTGAACTTTTTGTTTGGCTTTTCATCAACTTCATTGGAAAATTGCGGATATAGCTGAAAGTGCTATTGTTAAAATATTGCTGATTGATCCTGACGGTGAAACGGAACACTACAAAACTGGTAACAAGGGGATGAAGAAAACGCGAGAAAATTCAATGCTATTGGACGAAGCATCTTTCGACCAAATGAGAACAACTTTCCAATGAATGAAAGTTGAATTTATTTTGTCGTCCGGCAATGGAAAATTAAGCTTTGCAAACCAGCAAACATTTCAATGTGAAACAAAATAGACACTAGTTACGATAGTGGCCAATTTGTGTTTGAACGATAATATCCGGTTTGGTAAAAGCGATTGTTTATATAAATTGCTGTCCATTGCAATTATATTGAACATCAATTTTAAATTGTATGATTATTTGTATCCAAATTTATCCAGAGCGTCATTTCCAACACACCATTAAGGTTGGACTGAAAAATAGAGCTCCATACCTTATTAAGCGGAAAACGATTTCATCGGTTTAAAAAATTAATAATAAAACAAAATAAAATTATTTAGCCACAATCGATTTTATTTGGTTTCTGTACTTTCAGCGTTTGCTTTGTCGATCGTTTATGACGGTTGCTTATATTTGCTTTCTGGATATTTTCTGCGTTGTACTTATTTTCTGAACATAGTCGTTTAGTAGAATATCATTATGAGCAGATTGAAATATGGAAAAATTAGGCATCAGCCTGCAACTAATGATCAGCACTTATGCGGTTGTTCAACGTAAATCGGATCTTGGACGGCTCCCCAGAAGAAACGATTTTACTTAAAGACCGTAATCGGGTTGTTGTATCTGTCAGGCTTAAAAGGAGTACATTCCGACGTTCGATTTCGTTCGGAGCAATCGAATAAAAACAAATTTGACATTAATTCTGATTGATACCTGAGAAATGACGCACGTGAAGTCCGTGGTCGAAGAGAGCACGGAAAAAGGCAAGAATGAAAGCTCAGCAAATCAGGGGCGTTGCATCAAAGAGGCCACTTGATTGGAATGTCTGATGCAGCGCGAGCAGATTGAGCAGTTTTCCTGTTGAAAAAGCAATGTCGTCTTGCGAAATCCAAGATCGGAAAATTGCCCATTACGGCGTTTGTTATTGAAAATGCGTATGACAAAGCATCGGACAATAGCGCCGCCTATGCGAAGAGATCAGGTAGAAAAATACAGTCCATCCCATCAAGGATGACAATAAACCACTTAGTCGGAATGATTCTGGTGATCGGCCACACGTTTGTTCCTGACTGACATTTCGAAAAAAAACCATTCTTTGTCGCGGTAAAAGCTTTTTGACACAATTGGAAGGCTTTTTACGTTTTGTGCCTTCGCATGGAGCGCTCCAGTGCCATTGTTTATGGAAAGCGGCAACTGATTAATCCATTCAAATCGGCGGATTCTCTTTTGCTAGACGAAGCAGTCGAGCGCGATTGAAGCACTCTTCTTCTGCCATCTCTTTGGGTATCTGTGACAATCTTTGTGTATGGATACATTCCGACGTTATCGTGGGAGGAATCGTGGAATTTCTCCGTCAATTTCGATGATGCCATTCGAAATCTGCAGCAAACCGTGACGCATTCGACAATGTTCCAGTGACATTGCGTTAATTGATCACAGTATACTCAGCAAAAAGTTCCTAGCTCTAGTTCTAACGCGTAGCAACCAATGTCCTCTTTATTTTCTTTGTGAAGATCACCATTAGGTCCGGATCTAACTCGAAGGCTTTATTTCCTTGTCCACTTTCTTGTTTGGTTTTTTGTTAACACTACAGTTGGATGGCACAACCATTTTTCGTATATCCAACCTCCTCACCTATTGCTAAAAGTATGATGTCATCCGCAACAGATGAATTTAACATCTCTTATGAGTTATCCCCTTGTTTATTTAGAGATTTGTCCAACTTCACCACTTACTTCTTGGAATATTTCCTCTATTCCGTCCCACTTAGACTTTGATCTACTGCTCTTTTATAATATTGCCTCTTTCTTTTGCACTACTTTCCAAAGGATTTCTGGAATTGTATATAAATAAATGGCTTTATCATCAACTCTCTATGATCTTGAATGTCAGTTGTAAATATGCAAAAAATATTGGGAAAAGAGTGTCACTAGGACCAATTCAGATATAGAAGTGGGCACGATTTGCGAGAGAAACATGGTGTAACTGAGTGCAAAATTCACAACGAAGCTGT